GACAAGATGTGGTTATGGAACCCGATTCAACGAAAAGAACTCAGTTTTAAATTACAGTCACCTTCGGATGGTCCATATACAGTCCTGAAAAGACTGAATGACGTCATGATTCGTAAGTCTTCGAACTCTAAACCTAAAGTCGTTCATTACGACATGTTAGCTCATTACTATGGCCATAGTACATAATGTAAATAATTGTAAATAGTATAAGACCATGGTCCATTTTGTTTTTAAATGTGTATTTGATTTGTATTTGATAGCATTTGATTTGTTTTATGTATTGCATTTATTGTTCATGTTGTTTATTATTGTAATGTAATGCTTATTAATGCATTTATGCCACAGTTGTAAGTTTAGCTTCCTGTCCAGGGATTGTACTGCCCGGGACGTGCAGTCCTTGGGAAGGGGGCAGTGTTACTAATTTGGTATTTAAAAAGCTAATGTTAGTTCAATTATAAATTAAATGGTTTTATTTCTCGCGCAGTGCAGCGCGTGACGAATATTAAAAGCAAGCTAAGCCGGAAAAATTAAAAATACAAGAGCGCGTGCGTTAAATAAATAAATATCTCTTTTTGATTTCGAGAAAGTGCTGGAAAATTCTAACGCGTGATTTTAAAAATCTTATAAAAGGAGGAAAACATCTCAGTTTGTAGTAGTTGCTTAGTTTGTTGTTGTTTAGAAACTATTGTTGTTGATTGTAGCGAATTCGCGGATTAGCGTTCTTTAGCTGTTTGAATTACGTTCTATTGGACATTTGAGTAGTAAAAAGATAACTACTGTGAGATTTATAATACTGCATGATAATTTGAGAAAATTTAAGCATTTTTGTTGTGATAATAATAAATTTTTGTTCATTTTTCATCGGACTTGTGCATTCATTTCATAACGAACCCGTACGCCCGCAACAATACGTATACCTAGATGATATTGTCGTCCGGAAAAGTTTTGTAGAGCCTTCAGAAAATATTAAAAAAGTGCTTCGGGAAGTGAAGGAGTTCCATCTAAAATTAAATCCTGCCAAATGTGTTCAGACAGGAAGTGACTTACCTTGGGCATGTTATCTCCCCCAAAGTTGTATGTACGGATCCAGAGAAAGTGTTTGCAGTTAAAGATTGGAGACGCCCCGAAAATGTCCATCAGCTGAAAAGTATCCCGTGGCTTTGCACTTACTATTGGAGATTTGTGAGTTACTTTTCTTCCATTGAAAGACCTCTTCACAAACTGACAGAAAGCAAGCAAAAGTTCATGCGGACAAAAAAAAAATGTGAGGGTACATTTAACAAACGGAAGAAGGCTTTAATATCTGCGGCAAACCTGACGTATCCTCAGCTCGATAAATAATTTATTCTTGACACTGATGCGAGCAATAAGAATGTTGGTTCTTTTTTGTACCAAGAAATAGAGGTGGAGAATGTGTCATAGCATACTGGAGCAAGTGTTTATGTAAACTGGAGAGGAATTACCGTGTCACCAAAAAAGAAGCTAAACCCGTAGAACATTTCCATCATTATCCCAAGTGCAGAAAATTCCTGCTCCTCACTGATCATGCATCGGTGACCTAGCTTTTAAAGTTCAAAAATACTAAAGACCAAATACCCAGATGGGCATAGACTGCAGGAATATGACATAACTATTCGTCATACGAAAGGATCGTCACATGGAAACGCCGACGCCCTGTCTAGAAAGATGCTGATAGCGTTCCATGGTCGAAGCGAATTAAGGGCGTGTTAATCCGGTCGCACGTCAAGTTACAATTTCAGTACTGTTTAACGCAGACCTATGGAGTGAAGAAGTCAGGAAAGACCACCCGGAAGACGGCTACATGAAAACCATAATTTGACTTAATGGAATCCTCATATAGGATGCCTACTATACATGATATTTCGATCTATATTCCTACGACAAAACAATATTGTGCTCGCTGGGACTTATTCCATATTTTGAAACGGAGTCTTATACTGGAAGTTTGAATCGGATGATGGAAAGTCATACCGACGGCAGCTGAGACTTCCAAGATTTTGGATCGCGTATGGCCTTATAATAAATTCCAGCAGCCCGAGAGGTGGCCATTTCGGAATACTGAAGACTTTTCCAAGAGTTCGAGAGCGCGTCTAATGGAGTAATGCAAGAGCTTACAGAGTTTCGCTTTCTTTGGCAACATAAACTGAGTTAAAACTCTGGAAGACTTAAGCGACTTCTTGTTATGTCTTCGAAATTACAAGAGACTTGGAAAGGATGTAAAAGACCCTTTTATTAACTCAGATAAATTAGCAGAAAGCACAGCTTATGCTTACAGAGCCAGCTAACATTTATAGCGTAAATCAAAAGTAACGAACTGAATTTAGCTACTTAAATTGTAGCTAGTCCAAAGGCTACACAAACAGAAGACGCGCAAACTAGCTCAGACCTAATATCGTTGTGACAAGCCTAATGGCGAGAAACCCACAACGCCGCAGATTAACTGCTATCAAGAGAATGGACCAGTAACGTGGCCGTCAGCAGGCGGAACACACTCTGATTCTATAATTTAAAACTTTCCTTTAAATATTATCTCTTTCTACCTCATCTGAATCCTCCCGAGCTTGAAATTACCATTCTGGCAGAAAATGGAAAGCATGAAAGACGAAACAGCTAATTAACATAAAATAACTGATTAATAAAAATAAATGAATACTTTACAGGCTGACGAGCAAAAGTGGTACCCATCTTACGATGCATGTGCGGGCCGGAAACGCAGCCGCGGAAAGCTGCAATATAACAATATAAAAGCGCCTTTTGAAGGCATCGCCTTCTATATGCTGGACCTCTGTCACAATCTGCTAATGGCAACAAATCTATCCTTGTTGTTCTAGAATAATTCGCAAAATGGCCTGAAGCGTATCCCATCATTGATCAAGAGTAGGTTATTTTTCAGAGTAAGTAGGTTTATCATTGATCACGTTAGCAGAGGTAACAGCCATTGTATACAGAAATACAGCATTGCATTTCTAGGTTTGGAGTGCCTCTTCAGTTACATACGGATCAAGGAACGAATTTTATCTCGATTAAATAACTCTGTAAACTACTCGGCATAAAGAAAACTCAAACGACATCTTTACATCCAGATTCAGATGGCATGGTACAGAAGTGTAATCTAGCCAACCTTAATAACCTTTCGCTGATGGTTTTCAGAAATCAACAGAACTGGAGCCAGAAGTTACCTCTGTTTTTATTGGCCAGGTGCAGCTCCCCCACGTGACTACTGGCTATTCCCCATCTCAAATGCTCTTTTGTCGTGACGTTCATGAGCCTTGTAATCTGCTGTTTGGTCACACTTAGGATGCACCTTCATTGCCTGAGGAGTACATTCAAGATCTCCAGGCAAAATTCTGAACTGATGCATAGTTTACGCGACAGCGAGTCAACTTGCTGATGGAGAAGATGAAAACTCAATACGACACGAGAACTACAGGATGTTGATTCAACGAAGATGACAAGGTGTGGTTATGGAATCCGATTCGACAGAGAGAACTTTCTCCTAAACTACAGTTACCCTGGGACACGCAGCCTTAAACAGACTGAACGATGCCGTAATTCGGATCCATAAGAAATCAAATTCTAAGCCTAAAGTCGTTCATTACGATAGTCCTTACTATGGCTATAGTACGAAGTCTCTATAATGTACATGATGTCAGTAGAATACTATGACCATGGTCTTATTTGTTTATAAATTTGCAAGTTCATGAATTAAATTATTGGCTTATTATTTGATTATTTGTATGTAATTTATTGAAATTATTGTTTGAATATTGCATTCAGTGTTCAATTATTTATTTTCCTTAGTTATTAGTATGACTTCCTTTCTAAGGATTGCACTGCTTGGGACGTCCTTCGGAAGGGGGCAATGTTACAGATTTTGTATTTAAATTAATGCATGTAAATAATTTTAGTGAAATTACATGTGAAACTGTAGTATCCTTACTAATTTTTTTCTCAAAATTTGTCTATTTGATCCCTATATGTAACTGTAACCGTATCGGAGCCTTATATGTAACTTTAAATGTATATGCCTTCTAGTAATTTCGAGAAATGGGAGGTTCGAGAAATGAGAAATGCCTCGGCGGCCAGAGGAAAACTATACTAGACCGTAGAGAGCATTAATTCTGTTTTTACATAAGGTTTGGTTTGTTTTATGTGATTACGGCAAAGACTCGAGGGCTATCTGCCTAAGGGTAGGGGTGCCTTCGTGGAAGACTTTTAAAGGGAAACTGGCTCATATACACGTTACTCATAGGAAAAACCAAGAAAACGTCCATGCAATTCAGCCCGCTAGCGGGATTCGAAATTCGGACCGAACTGCCAGCATTTAGCGGCTTTACCGCTCGATCGCTGGTGGGCTTTTAGTCAAGAATTGATTTTGGAATACTGAGAGATCTCCACTGCGAACTTCATTGTTTAGATGCAATTTGCATTACGTTGTGTTTAAGGTTCTTAGTAGTTTAAAGTGGTAACTACTGATTGTGCTGCGTTAAACTGAAAACAGCTCTACGAGTACTTTTATGGATAGTTCTAGAACTGTCAAGTGTTTCTTTCGGGAAAGTAAATTTCATATAATCGGTTCTTTGTACATTAAATTCATTACGAACCAATACATAAATAACGATAACAATTTTTTGTTTTGTTTGTTCAAATCACATCTACAGTATGTCATTAACATGTTTTAAAATATTTCTGTGATCATTGTAACAATTTCACAAGTCAGGTGGAAGAGTTTTATCACCCTCTTAAATATCCCACGTTCATGCAAAAGCAATTCAAGCACTATGATTAAGTAGTATAATATAAAGTAGCTTCATAAATAATACTAATTCAGTATGTAGGCTTAGTAATTGAAAACAACATTAGTTTTACTTTGAAAAGCGTTTATAATAATGAAGCGCCTTTTACTCTTTTAATAATCAATGATTTCCAATGCCCATATTAAAATAAGTAATACAGATGAAACAATAAATTAAACTCACCGGAACAAAACAACGAATATATTACTTTTTAAAGCAGAAATAGATAAACTAACTTGTTTTTTCAGAGGAAATTGTTTATGTAAATGAAAAAACTCCTCCATTTCTTCTTGATCCAACATCAGAAATCTATATAAGATAAAAAATATCCTATATATAATTTTAAAAGTATTTAAACTAAAGTCATTAACTTGATAATGTTTGCAACTAAACTCAGAAGTCATAATGTGCATGTTTACCAGTTTGGGCCATATAATAATTTATAAACAATGAAAAATAAAATTTCATTTCAATGAGACTAATTTATTGTTAATCTAGATGTTAATTATTCAATTTGAACTGTAAGGACTTCAATTAACAAGTGACGTATTTACTTGTTAATTTCTTGTTGCTATTATATTAAAGTGATGTATTTACTTGTTTACAAGTAAATACGTCACTTTAATATAATAGCTCAGGTATTTTGATAGACCCTGATATTATTACAAAAGCTTTTCTTTTGTCATAATTCTTAAATATGGTAAATAAAATGAATGAAAGATTAATATATAAAGAGTCTGTATGCATTAATCATTGATTTATTTTATTGCGATAAAAAAATACAGAGAAACGTCCAAAATTCACCAAAAATATTTTATAAACACTGCAATGAATTTGTATACCGCATGTAAAATTACTATCAGTTTCTTAAAAGAATGCATTTTCAATTAAAGGAGAGGATAAAATAATCGGATAATGTTCAAATGCACATTTTGAGAAATCTGCACCAAAATTTTCAGGATACCTACAGAAAGAGCAAGTTCATTTATTATTCTAGAGTTTCTTTGGCTATTATGGCTGTTTCTTTGGCTATTATTAAAATTTCTTGCTATAACAACCTGTTAACAATATTTATCTTCAGTTAAGGTGAATTTATATAATACTATGTAATTTAACTTAATTTTTGCATCTAATTACTGAATTATCCATTAATCCTACTGAGATGTTTCTGTTGATTAAAAATATTAAAATCTATTTCTGCATAAATTCTTTAAATATAGAAAATAAGAATAAATTTTATAGTCCTTGTACATTGGCTCTAACTAAATAGGTAAATAAAAATAAAGACGTTATAAGGGAACATTTCAAAAAAAAAAAAAAAAAAAAAAAAAAAAAATTAGGCCTCAAGCCATAAGCTGTATGTGTTAATTGAAAAGAATTCACTTTCATTAAAATTTTCAGTGTCGCTCACTTCCAGTGAAACTGTGGTTGGCAATCCTTTAAGTTAATATAATATCACATTTTATAATGTTTTTCGTCTTTTGTTATTAAAAGAAAGCAATTACTTTTTTTATTATTTGACTGTTAAACTTTAAAAAAAATTACATACAAATAGCGGAATAAATACGACAATACAAGTAATAGATTTATCATATAAATCATTTTGCAAATGCAAACGTCAATAAAACCCAATAAAAGTCAATAAAACCCAATAAAAGCTTAAGAAATCTCTATTCCTGGGAATTTTTTATGCATGGCAATGCAGCTAGCACAAAAAAGAAAAAAAAAAAAAAAATAGAATGTCATAACAATTCATATTAAAGCATCAGGTTTGGAGAATTAGATCGATAACCATTCATGCTGAGAATGATTATTTTCATTCCATTTTTGCCAAAAGTTATGAGAAAGAAAGAAGCAGTATGAGGCTTATGCAACATGTTGCAAAACAGCTGAAACATTCAATAGCCATTATTCCAGTTTAGGAATATTAAGGACTTATAATATGTCAGCATAGTGCTGATTTGCAATAACAATAGTTCAAAAACAAACTCATTCAGGGTTCCAAGCTTCAATATCATCTAATAGATATAATTGCAACAAAAATATTTAAATAATAAATTTCAACTTTGCCGCATAATTTTGTGTATTCATATACTATACTACTGCATTACTATATACTGTGAATTCATTTAAATACAAATTTTTTAAATGTTAACTGAATTTTAAATCATTTTGCATATAACTTAGATATAAAATTTGTAAACAATTTGTTTCAAAAGTGAGAAGAAAAACGGTATACTTGCGTCTTTATTGTTTCTTAGTTATTATATGTTTATACATCTATATTTGACATAAAAAATATACAAAATTTTGAAAAGGTTCTTAAAAATGATACAGAAAGCTAAAAATTTACCTCTGTGATCTTGCAGTTAGAAATGATTCTCCAACTTCAGCTCTATAATCAAAAGTGGTTCTTAAGTTCAAATAATACATACAGTTCTTAAAATATAATGGCTCATTTACTAGTAGAAACATTTTTATTTAAAAAACATTTTATAATATAATAAATATAAGTTAAGCGGTATAGAAAACATAAGCAAATTTCACTGAAGCAAATAGGCACCAGGACTTAGAAAAAGGTTAGTTCATAGAGCTTTTTCCCCTGAAACAGGAAGTGGGGAGTGCTGATACTAACTGCAAATATGCAATTCCAGCAAAGAAATAAACGTTTTAAATTGGAAAAAACAGCCTTAAAAAGCTGTGGGTGAAAAAGCAGCTTTCATTTAGAAGAGAAGGTGTTATTACTGCACGCATTTATAACGCTTAAAAAGCTAATAATACCTGTTAATTTTAAAATAATAGATAAAATACGCTACGTTTTCTTAAATTTGAAGGTTTTTTTTAAGTGTGCATTTATTACGAAACCATGAAGGAAAAATTATGGCATTCAATATCATTTCTTCATGTGCATACTAAGTGGGAGAATTCTGTTAATCTTTCCAAGATTGCAGAAACATTAGGTATTTTTAGAAGAAGAGATGAAAAATTTGCAACGCCTTTGCCGGGAATTGGACCACGGACCTCTGGAATATGCGCCCAGCGTGCAGACCACCACACCCACGAACGCACGCAAAGAAGGTGGGAGAAATAACTTATAAGATAACTATAATAACAGTTTTTTAAAGTTAGGCAAAAAGAAAAGAAAAAGGTTTGGCGTAAGTTTGAATATATATTTGAACTTTTTTTCTGCAGGTAAAGAGGAACTTATTTTGACTGGCCTTGAAATCGGTAGTTTTATTCAAAATTTAATCTAACGTAAAATTTCTTTTCTGACCTAATTATAAATTTTACACCGGCGATTTGATATAATATCAGATGTTTTTAAATTATTGTCTCACTTATACATTACACTAAATATTATAATATAATTCTTCCTTATACATTACACTATTAAAATTATTATCTCATTTATACACATACATTACACTAATGCAATGTATACGTAAATCTTACAAAACAATTTTGCTCACAATATCTAAAGATAATTACTCAATCTTTCGAAAGATGGAAAAAGGAGGAAGATCTTTTTTATGAAAAATTACTTTGACGTTGTATACGATTACAAATTACCTAAAATGTTGAAATAGCTTTGTTTTTTACAAATTAACAATGCATTCTTCTTTATATTTACAGTTAGGCCATTCAGCAATATTTACATCGCCATTTGTGGATTCTATTTTAAAGTCGTTCGTATCTGCTTTATTATTCACATCATCATTTTCGTAATCGGCCTCCAAGTAAGCGATTTTTCATGCCATCTTCACAATCATTCCATAGAAAATGTTATCCAAAATTTCGCCAATATTGTTGAACCCTTTTTGTTGTTGTTGTTGTTGTTAGCATTAAAACGGAAGAAATCAAAGTTTGAGGGGACAGCGGTATCAAACACGGCTTTTGAACAATTAAAAACAGCTCTAATTAATGCCACAGTGTTAAAATTCCCGGAAGGGGACGAGAACTTGGAGATCGCGGCTGATGCTTCAGATTACGCTTTGGGGGGATGGGGCAGTTTTAATGCAAAAAGGGCATCCCTCGGCATTTTTTAGTTAAACGTTAAACGCTACATAACAATGAAAAATTTACAGCGACGAAAATACAGCGACCGAACGAGAAACGGTAGCCGTGTTAATGGCAGTTCAGAAGTTCAGGGTTTATTTTGGGAAAACATCGGTTACTTTCTATTCAGACCATGCGGCCGTAGGTAGACTATATTTTGGAAAGAATTTAACTCCCAGATTAATTAGATGGGTCTTTAAGTTACAAGAGTACAACTTAAAACGTAAGCATACTCCCGGCAAGGAAAATACTGCGGCCGACGCGTTATCAAGAATTAAACTGGATGAAAACGGTGATCAAATAAAATGTGCTATGCTAACTTCTAAAGTTTTAGATTCCTGTGAAACGATCATTTCTGAGTTGCTAAAGGATCCAGAATTCGTTAATACCTATGCTTATTTAAAGGATCCAGAATTCGGAAATATCTATGCTTATTTAAAAGATCCAAATAATTTTGAACATGCAGACCTTGCTGAAATTAGACATAGGGCCCAAAATTACGAGACTGTAGATAATATAATGTTCTACACTAAATCGATAAATGAAAACCATGAATATAGGCCAGTCATTCCACTCACACTACGGCTAAGCATTTTGCACTCACAATGTTCATTCCTATCGGAAATTTTTTTCAAAAAACATTTTCGTCGTTACAGACGTTTAAGCGACGGAAACAAAATAATTGCCGCCAAGGCAAACAGTGCGTAGTTTGGGGAAAACGCACTGCATGTTCAGATAAAACGAGGTCCTAAAAAATTAATTTTTTAGTCGTGAAAAATTACTCACATCAGTGATATTGGGGGTCGATTTTTTACGCGCATCCGGCGCAATCTTAATTTCAGAATTCTACGTTCAGGGCACATGGACCCGGTAAAGAAGTGAATTCCATGCCGGAATTAATCTACAACATTTGACTGGAGAGAAAAAGAAGATTGAAATTGGTAAGAAAATTTAATTCTTTGTAACGAAAACTTGGGTTTTGTCAGGTAGTTAGTCATTCCAATAGACACTGGGAATGCCCCTCCAGTCCGGAAAACCTAAGTATGACAAACTAAGAAAAAAATGAGAAGCATATTAAAAAAAATGCTAAAAAAAAATAATCGTGCCAGCACGAGTTTACGCAAGTCCGGTGGTCCTTGTAAAAAAAAACGGACTACCTGAAACCCGGACGCGTAAGGTTTGCAGTGATTATCGTAAGTTGAACAGTTATACAAATATCTCAATATCCCCTACCTATTGACGAAATAATTAGAAACATTAACTCGACTAAATTCATAAACCCTAGACCTCACGTGGGTTACTTTCAAATCGTTAAGCCGGAGGATGCCAGAAGACCGCGTTTATAAAAAGTCAGGCGTCATGCCTTTTAAGAATGCCTTTGGTTGAGCGAGCGCCAGCTACGTTCCAAAAAGCTATGGACATAGTCTTTAAAGCCAGTTTTAGGTAAAGTACAATAATTATTTTGACGATATAATAGTTACCAGAAAACATTAGAGGAACATTTGAAACATTTGGAAGAGTTTTTCCTACTTACGAGGCGTTTCAAAATAAATCAAGAAAGAAAAAAAGTCGAGCAAGGAATTCGATACCTGGTACAAAATCTCAATAAGGGAATAGAGACTGATGATTCAAAAACTAAGTCAATTAAAATTATCCTCCCCCAAATACGGCTAAATTGTCTTCACTTTGGGTTAGTTCCTATTATAGAATGTCATAAAAGACTTTGGAAAAGTTGGCTCTTCTAGTGCTAAAAAGAAAGAAAAGTAGGATTTTCTTGGACAGCCGAGCGAACACCGTTGGAACAACTAAAGAAGCCATAATCAATGCCACATACTTAATCCCAGAAGGCGAGCAAGGTCTAGAAATTTCAGCGGTTGCATCCGATTATGCAGTTGGAGCGGTGCTCTCCCAAAATGGGTAACCTATAGCTTTCTTTCGAAACCTTGATGCTACTCAAAGGAACTATTCCGCTACTGAGCGAGAAAGCTCGCTGTGTTATTAGCAGTTCAGAAGTTTAGTGTCTATTCGAAGTCACGATACGGTCTACTAGATCATGCGGCAGGGGGTCGCTTGTATTCAGGAAAAAATTTATCCTCGCTTGATACGTGGACTTTAAATTACAAGAGTTCACTTAATTATAAAACACCGGGAAAGAACTGGTCGCCGGTGCCCTTTCGCGAATAAAATTGATGAAGAGGGAAACACAATCAAGTCCGCCATGCTCACCTCAAGAGTTATTGAGTCCGTGAAACGATAATCGAAGAATTAAAAAGGACCCAGAGTTTAAAGATATTTACGCATACTGGAAGACCCTGAAAATTTGAACATATAGATTTAACGGCTATTCGCAATAGAGCACATTACGAAATAATCGACAAATTGTATTTTACCAAAGGCAACTAATGAAAATCAGGAATACCGACCGTAATCCCAGCGAGTCTACGTTTAAGTATCTAGAAGAGTTGCACGATCTACCTTCTGCCGCAATTTCGGGATACGAAAACACAAAGAGGGTACGCGAGCGGTTTATTTCCGCAGTTACAGAAAGTGTTACGGCGTATGTTAAGTCGTGCATATGTGCCAATTAATAAACGATGTTAATTACAGCCGGCGGGGTATTTAAAAAAACATAAAGACCACAACTTTCCCACGAAATAGTTGGAATAGATTTGCTAGGACCCTACCCTAGGACAAAAATTAACAAAAACAGATATCTTTTAACAATCGTTGACCATTTTTCAAAATGGGTAGAAATATTTCTCTTAAACGAGCTTCAGCTAAAATGTCGCAGATTCGTTCTTAATAAATATATATTAAATACGGGCCCACTCTAAAAGTTAATATCAGATAACGGAAAACAATTTGTGTTAGTAGTATATTTAAAAATTTGTGCACAGGACTTGGCATACGCCATCTAAGAATGGTACCATATAGACCGCAGTCGAATATAGCGGAACGCGTAAATAAGAATATTGTAAAAATTATCAGGGGATACGTGAAACATTTTCATGACCGCTGGGGCAGCTGTGTCAATGAGTTAGGTTTTGCCTTGAGAACCGCAAAGCACGATACTACGCAGAAAACCCCCGCGGAGTTATTTTTAGGGAAAAAAATCATAACGTCGTTGGATAAGCTGTTCTTTGTACAACAAAGACAAGAAGAATTCAAGTTAAAAGACGTTCAAAAAATTATTGACGAAGCAATTAAAAGTTCTGATATAGCAAGACAGAAACAAAAAGTTTATTATGATAGAAATAGAAAGGTGTGTATTTAATGTGTGTATTTAATTATGGCAAAGCACACGAGGGCTATCTGCCTAAAGGGAGGGATGCCTTTCGT